ATAATTAAAATAAAAAAAGTTAATCGAATTTTCGTAAGTAGTTTCTGAGATATCTTCGCTCAAAGTTTTAAAAAAATGAATTTTTATGAAATTAAATGGATTTACACAAAACGATCGATCTGATCTTCCGAGGTGTTCGACCGAGCCTTGCATCATGTGATCACACCTGGCTTTAGACGACCTCCTTTTTTGGTAATCCCTGACTTATTTATATATAGCTCGGGGTCCTACTCTAATCATTAACATATCAGTGTGAGTATAAAATTTCTTTCTGTTTATTTTAATATTGGGTGTGTTCAAGAGTATTAATCGTCAAAAAATAATGCAACTCACATGTCAGAGTGAGTATAAAACTTCTTTCTGTTTGTTTTGATATTGAGTGTATTCAAGAATATTAACTATTAAATAATGCAACTCTAATCATTAACATATCAGCATGAGTATAAAATTTCTTTCTGTTTATTGATATTGGGTGTATTCAAGAATACATTACGGCGGATTTGTAAAATACCCCAAATTTTGAAAAATTTGACTACTGATTGTGAGTCATCTAATTGACGCACATATGATATAATATTTTTATCATATATATAATTGTTCTGATCTAAACTATGATATACTATACGTATAATATTAATAATAATATAAAGATAAAACTTACATACAAATATTTTTAACCATTAATTTAAAATGAAAGAAGTTGGCGAGGAAATTTCAAATTATCCCATGGGTCGTACAATTAAATAGAAGTCACCACGAAGAAAATGGGTTATCTGAATTATATAAAAACGTAAAATGGGTTCACTTAATTGTACAGAAATTTAAAATGGGTATCTGAATTGTACAGAGATTTAAAATGGGTTCACTCAATTGTACATAAATTTAAAATGGGTTCACTCAATTGTACATAATTTAAAATGGGTTCACTCAATTGTACATAAATTTAAAATGTGTTGCGATGGTGGGAAAATGGGTTAGACGTATTGTTATTATAGATCGGAGCGTTAATAATTTTTTTCGAGGGTTTGATCTTAGAAAATTAATATTAAATTTGTCCCCAAAACTTAAAATTGGGGACCAAAAATCAGTTAAATTTGACAAATCCGCCGTAATGAAATAATGCAAATCTAGTAATTAGCGTATCAGCGTGGGTATAAAATTTCTTTCTGTTTATTTTGATATTGGGTATATCCAAGAGTATTAACTGTTGAATAATACACATATGATCATTGTTTATTAATATTGGGTGTATTCAAGAGTATTAACCGTTAAATAATGCGACTCTAATTATTAACATATCAGGTGAGCATAAAATTTCTTTGCTTATTTGATATTGGGCGTACCCAAGAGTATTAATCGTCAAATAATACAACTCTAGAACTTTGCACACTAAAGAGATGAACCCCCATGAAAAATATGTAAATTGCAAGAAATTTGTAATACTGTAGCTATAACATTTCCTAGATTTATTCGTCCTATGTAATCTTTTCATGAGGAATGTAAGTATAAGTATATAATTTTACTATTAATATTTATATAACATAGTATTTGATCTTCTAATTATTTGTTGCTGATTAATAATTGTCGTCTAAAGACTTACGATAAAGGCATCGCGCTGTGTGATCACAAAATTACAGTATTATACCATCCGATTTTTATAAGATGATTTCATGCTTTTGCCATCCTGTGTTCGTGTCTTCTGACAACACGCTCTATTATATCATTTATCCTTTAGTTGCATTTATTTTCTTAAATCGTATTTCATATTTATCGTTTCTACCATGTGGTTATTTGTTGTTGGCATTATAGGCAGAGAAATAGTACTTCTGATATCTGCATGTTACCGAATTCTGAATTTGTTTTAGTTGTTTAATGCCAACTGTTTTCAGAAATAGACAACCACATAATAAAAATTAGTCAAAATATAGTTTTTTTAGATCGTTACCAGTTTTTAATTTTCTAGTTTATGTTTAATCTCTGTCTATCTATAGCTACGTTGGTGGTAGTGCGAAGTACTTATAAAGGTTATGTATAATTTTCCCGATGTCCATTTTCTCGACAGACCATTGCTTGACATCACGCAAGGTGATAATTTACTAATAATATATAGCTACATACAACTAATAAAAATGCTAACCCTAAACTAGAGTTGTGACCCGAAACCGAAATCGAAACCTGAACCTTTCCCGAAATTTTAATACTATATATACTGAAAGGCTTAGAATTTTAATTTTTAGACTTTAAGACATAAAGTACATGATGATTAGATTGCATTTTAGAAATATTTGGTTACTTTATAGTAAATGTGCATTAGTTATTAACATTCTAATTTGAAGGTTTCGGATCACAACTCTACCTAAACCTATGTGATACCAGGTAAATGGTCTGCTTGTGAAATGACTACCGGGAAAATAAGCAACAACGCTTATAAATTAGACATTAAAATAACTACACAAGTCAAGATTATTAAAAAGTGTAAATAATAGATTTGAATAAAGAAGAGCAATAAAAATAAAAAAAAATGTAAAAAGAGTAAGATTAATATGTAATATAATATTAGACAATAACTATAATTATATTAGAATTAGTATTTGTATTGGGTTAGAAATTAGAGTAATATCACTGGCAACCGTATGGGCAGAAATATTCAATTTTTGTGATTAGATAAATTTTTATTGATAAGCATATAATATATAAATAGTAATTTTTAACGACAATTTTCGATCTAAATTTTTTTTTGCAAAAATGCTTGCAAAATTTTTGAAGTCATTATCAAGTGATTTTGCTTTAATATTGAAGACTATAATGTCATCATTAAAGTTGGAAAATCGCCAAATATCTTACACTTAAAGCTCATTCCTGTGTATTACGTGCCAGATCAACTTACTTTCATTCAGCTTTGTTCAGTGACTGGGTTAAGACTGATAGGAACTTTATCATGTTTGAAAAGTCTAATATCTCACCTGAAGTGTTTCAAATGATATTAAAGTAAATAAAAATAAATTTTTTACTTATTACGCGTCTTTTTTTACAATATTTGTTATTTCGTTTGTATGCTGGTTTGCTACAACTTCTCATTTTCTCTCTTCATATATTCAAATAGATATTTATATTTGTCTCAAAAAATCAAAATCAAACACGTATAATAGATTTCATAGCTGCCGCGGATGAATTGATTCTCACTGAACTTGTAATTTATTTGAAAGATCATCTTCTAACACATTATGACCAATGGATTCGTCAGCATTCACTTCAAATTCTATATCACATCACTTTTTACTCTTGTAATGAACTTCAAGATATATGCCTAGAAATTATTTGTGAAAACCCTACATCGGTATAGCTTTTTCTGCTATTGATGAATCTATTCTAATTGAAATAGATTTATAGGATTATTTAGTTCAATGGGCTATTGCAAGAACTCCAAAACTTAAATCTGATATTTCTAAATAGTCCGATGGTGATTTTCAGGTGTTACAATCCACCTTAAGAAATTGTAAATTGTATGCCACTTATCAAGTTTAACCATATAAACCCCAACAGAATGTCGACAACTTTCTTATAATACTGATTCACTAACAGGTGATCAAAATATAATTTCAGATAATTTATTTGATTCAACCCTTATCAAATTTAAACATGCAACTGTTATTTCAAATTGGATTGATTGTGTTGAAGATCCTGAACAAACTCGATTGTATCGAAAGTCACCATCTCATTCGTTTAAACTTTTATTATGTGGCAAAGACGGGTCCAACCGTCGTAATTATGAAAGTTGCTAGCACTAGAGAAATAATTGGTGGTTATATTCTTGAGAATTGGAAAGGTGGTTTCTTTGGTAATTGGGTTAAATCAATGGATAATTTTATTTTTTCTTTGAGTGTTGAAAGTGAATTTTAAAAATTCAAAATTAAGTAGAATTAAAAAAAATCATTCAAGAATGGCCTATTTAGTGCCAATGTTCATGGTCTATGTTCGGTGATAGAGATTCATAGGTGTCAATTATAATAACTTATCGAAAGGATGCTCGTGTATAAATTCGTATTATGAAAAAAATATAATCGGTTCTCAAGAATTTGCTTTAGAAGATTATGAAGTTTTTTAAATTTTTCAAAACCAACCGGCCGATGAAAAGAGATATAAACCTTTTGATTTATTTGTACTTTGCGTTAGTATTTTGTTTTTATTGTTTTGATAAATATTTGGACTATTTTGCATTTTACGTAACGTTTAGTCAAAAGTGATACAATAATTATGTTTTTTTGATATTATATATATACTGTATTGGAATTTTATTTCTTTAAGTTAAGCTCAAAGCCTCTGTTACAATCAATGCACAAAATTACAATTCTTGAATGTGACCCAGGTTGGTGGCGCATTAATCAGCCACAACGATATCTTTTATTTCGTAAAATTTCTTTTTATATGAAAACTTCCACCGTGTGCTTCTTACATAATTTAGGTTTAAAAGTGAAACCCCTTAAACAATAAGAAACATTATTATTCTTTTTTTAAGAATGATTCAGCATATATTATAAGAAAAGCTTTTTTTCATTTAAAGAACTTTTTTATAAGCTATTTATTAGCCAACGTATATGTGTTTATTACCATGCTTTCGAAGCCAATATTTTTTTATACGCGTATTATATTAAAAATTTTGAAAATTATAATTTATAACCGCTATAAAAGTAAAGAATGCGAGTATTTTTTTTGAATTCAAACTAATATTAAAAGCCAAAGGTTATGGAGAATGAAGGGAAACGTACTGTACTTTTTTGAAAAAAAAGAACATAATTCGAGTAGAAATAGTAGAAATAACGTTAGAAAATGGTGGTTTCATTCTATTAAAATTTATAATTTTATTATAGAATTTTCTAATTGGAGCAAATAAATTACTTGGGCTGATTAATGCATCACTAACCACTTTTTTCAATGTTTTTTTTTTATAAACCATAGCCGGAGTAGATTATTATAAAAATAGAAATTTTCCTAAATGATTTTTCGGTCGATTCGATTAAGTTGTAATTTCAGCATAATCAGTATATATCGTATTTTCGCATAATAACGCGCAGGGTGTAATTTCAAATTTTGGCCCAAATTAAGCTTAATCCGGGCCATTATTCGAAATAACGCTCATGAGCGTTATTACGCGAAATACGGTATATAAGAGTTAATAAAAATAAAACAATCATTTTTAGTACCTTTTTTAAAAAATTAAAATATAAAAACACCAAAGTTGTTGGGATATTTTAAAAACTTTTATTTAAAAAATTTATTTATTTCTATTGACTTTCCCATATATATTAGTATTATTAAATTGATTTACAGCCCTTCAAATATCATTGAGGTTTCTCACCTCAAACATTAAAATATCATGTAAATATGGTTTTCCTAAAAGTAACAGAAGTTTTTTAATATATTCATACCTTTGAAAGTGCTTGACCTGACTTATAGAAGGTCTACTAACACCTAAATGTTTAACAATTTTCGAACTGATAAGCTTTCTAAATTTTTTTCAATTAAGTGTATTTGCCAGCGAAGATGCTTTAAAATATCATATTTTTGCATTCGACCAGAGAGATATATATGTACTGTTCGTACTACACATACTAAAGTCTTGTGATATTAACAAACCTTATTAAATTATATATATTAATTTGAATCTATTATGCCGAAATTATAACAAAATAATATTTTATCAAAGTCTGGTATATAACTTAATTATTAAAAAAGATTATTTTAAGCAAAGATTTTTTTTAGCTAAATTTGATGAATTTGTAAAAAAAAAATCATCAAATTTTGGCGATGCAAAAAAAATTTTTTGGACTCTAAATTTTTTTATGCCGCAGCGTTTAAGTAACTCATAAGATTGCGCTCTGGCTGATCATCAAAATTGATCAATAAAGCGGATAACAAATCAAGAAAATTGGCGTTAGGAAGCAATAATGCCGTGCTTAAATTTAGCAGCTGCTTGAAGTTGCGACTTTTAAGCTCATGAAGTTGAATCTATCTAAAATTGTCTTAAATTACTAATACATGATCTAATTTCAGGGGTTAATTCCAGTCAATGTAACTTCAAGCGCCTAAGTTGCAACTTCACAGGGATGCCAACCTCAAGCACAATAGTTGCACTTATAATAAAAGCCACAAAATTTTTAGAATCGTCACAATTAGTTTCAATCAATCGAAATGGTTGTGTAACATCACATTGAGGGAACTGCTTGAGAAAGTCTTAATTAATATCATTTTGTCGTGACAAATTAGTAAAAAAGCAAAAATATTTATTGATGAATATTTGAATTAAACTATTCAAGTTCGTGAACGCGAACACAGTATCCATATGGACTAATTATGGTAATTACAGAAATTATTGATTCATCAATATTTATTAAATGTGCAAAAAGAAAATGTTGATAAACCGAGACAGTTAAAAATAGGTTATTATACCTCATTTCGGTTATCCGGTTAATTAAATGAGTTATCCTGAGCCGTTGGATATTTTTACTAAATACCCCGTGATCTTGATATAGTGATCGGGGTATTTGTGAGAAAACACAATTGAAATATCCCATCAAACTCGTGAATACTTATCAATGAACAATATCTTATTCAGTTTACCCGGGTTAATCATTTGTTATCCATTATTCAGTATTTACAATTATGTAAGCAAAAAAAATTATTGATTAATCGAGGCATTTTAATAAACTATTTAAATTTGCAAATACTTACCAACATGCAATATTTCATTTCAGTTCATCAGCGCTATTCAGGTTCTGGAATATTTACTATTAAACAGTTATACCAGATGGTCTAAAAGAATAATTAAATAACTTATTCAAGGTTATGAATACCTATCAATATATTTTACATATCCCTTATTTTATTTCATCATGTAAATTAAGTAAGTATTATTAATCAACTGCGCTATTTAAGTTCGGAAATATTTATCATTAAAATTATATTTCATTATTTCATTAATCTATTGCATTAATTGACTAGAGTTTAAGCTATTCTAGTTCATTAGTACCGTAAATCACCGTATACAAGACCCGGTCTCTTACATTGGGGGTTCCAAAATTAAAATCAGAATTGAATATAGTAAAATACTATTGAAAAAATCCTACTTATTTTCGAAATGCGCCACTTATTGTTAATTTTGAAACCTCCATTCCTCCAATTTTAAAAACCTATAATAGACTCGGGTCTAATATACTACCAAAAGTTCATATCATTAAGAGAAAAACTTTGAAGAGTATACACATTTTCGCATTTACGATAGGCAGCCTGGCTATTTGAAAAAAACCAGGTTTGATTAATATACTACGTACGTACAGTACGTGGATGGATTTTGTATACGGCGATGTACTTACCGTGGAAGATAATGCAAGTCTAATTAAAAACATGGCACAGGTGGTATAACAGTGATGGTAAATGACTTGGTCATTTGCAAATTTTTCAAATGACCCCAAAATGACCGGTCATTATCAGTCATCTCAATTTTGGGTCATTTGGAATGACTTGTGACCAAATGACCATGGTCATTTAGAAATGACCGGGGTCATTTGAGGGTCATTTAGTCTATAGGTTTTGAAATAAGCTGGGTTAGGCTAGGTATTGGTATACTTGGGCCCAAGCTCAATAAAAATTTATATGCCCGACCCAAGCCAGGGATGGTAAATGATCCGGTCGTTTGATCGAAATTTAAATGACCCTAAATCATCAAATCATGACAAGATCATTAAGATCATTTACGCAGGTCATTTGCAAATTGCTCATATAAAAAGTTATCAAACTTTATTAACACGTATGTATATAGCTACGATTATCGATTAAGTCAAAGCCTTACTAAGTCAATTAATATTTATAAATTGAAAAACTTTTTATTGACTTTCGTATAAACGTAAAGCGCGGAAGTGAACTAATAAAAGTTCTTCAGTTTATATGAAAATTTCAGAATATATGCAATTTATTATTCGGACAACTTTATTTAAGATATAAATATTAATTGACATAGTAAAATTTTTAATATACAGTATAGCTCGATTATCGATTATATTTTAATTTTGTTTGGCGGCAAATTCTGATTGGCTATAGGGCAATAGAATATCAATTAACACATGTTAAATGGCCTTCTAAGTCATTTGGGTCTCGAAATGACCCAATAACTAGTCATTTGTCATTTGGGTCATTTGGGTCATTTACCATCACTGTGATATAATGATCATTAATCAGTTTTTATAATTAACGGTAAATAATAATATCCATCTTAAACTAGTAAATGTATGCAAATAGAAATAATACATTTATTAGACTTCTCTTAATATGTAACACACCTTTTCTTATAAATTATTTGATTTTTGTAACTGATTTTTTTATCTTAGTATATAAAAAAAAAGCATTGTTACTTAGAAATACATTATGAAAATCCAATAAATGTATTTTTATTGTATTTTTTGTATACATTTACCAGTTAAGAGATATTGCAATTTTTTAACCTAGAAGATTACAGGACGTATCTGGAAACTTGAAATCATATAGTTTAAAAAAAAATTGTTTTTTGATCACTATAACTATATATGTAATTGGACTCAGTAAATGATACGTACAAGTTGATCTGGTAGTAGGGTTGTATAAGAATAAAAAATTTCATCCAACAACCTTAATGCTTATTCTAACCGGCATTAATATTAAAGCCAGCCTGCTTTACTAAGATATATTTTGTAACTTACATAAAGTCATGTAACTTACGATGTAACTTACAATGTAAGTAACATTGTCTGGT